GTGCACATGTGCACTTCATGCTCATGTGCGGCAAACATGCACTTTGTGCATACCACAGGTGCTAAGAAGCCTTTTTCTGAGGCTGCAAAGATAAGTAGAACAGTGAGGCAGAGGGGGGGAAGACAGCTGTGCGACATGATTTAGATTCACTAGAAAGCAGGATTTCCTGGTTGAATATAAATTGTGTGGCACAGCTGATTGTTGCACAGCTGACTGTTAGCATCTTTTACAACCGGTTTGGGTGAACCAGCCGGAACTGGTAGCATTTCACCCCGATTTAATTCAATTTAGAAGGCGACTCTCTGCTGGCTCAGGAATAGCTAGATGCTTCTTCTGTCCTCAAAGGTGGACTTGGGCATCTCTACTTTTGACGGCTGAAGTTCAGCCCTAGATAGTAGTATCAGCCCCTTGACTCGGGAAACAAACACCGCAAACAATGCTAGAATCTACTTTATGGATCTGGGCTACCAGAAAATCTTGTGAGTTTTTCTTTTCTTCACTCTTAGGCCAAAGAGAACTGAGTGAGTCGATTTGGAATTCCTTCTACAAGCTTTTCTTGGATATAGTGGATATTTTTGGAGCACCTTCTTATTTTCTTCAAAGCTATCTCAAGACTCCGGCGCAAGCAGTAAAGTCAGTGTGCGATCATTAAATGGCCTTCTAAATAATGTATCTGGCTTAAGATTCAGTAGATGGCAGCAGAGAGAAGCAGAAAACTCTTTGTGGCCAACTAGTGATCATTGTGGGGGTTTGCATCTGATATTCGTACTTATGGATTATAGCGGACTGACTTTTCTTCGTGTGAATTTGCAAAAATTAGAAGTTTTTTCTTACCAGATTGGCATTTAGCAAAATCCTCTGAGGTCCGACATTCAGAAACATTCAAATACAATTGCAGCAATGTGCATAAATAAAACTCCTCTGGGTTTTTATGGATTTAGAGCCGTTGTTGTGGCCCCAGCTAGTGGAGCTGGCAGCAGATTGGACAGTGAGGAGGTTGGGGAGGAAGATGGGCCAGTCCTGGAGTCTGGGGAGGCTCTAATGAGGGCTGTGTGTCGGAGGCAGAGATGGGGCCAGAGCCATATGCCAGTTATCAGCTACCTTCAGAGTCAGACATCAGTGGGGCAGAAGAACAGCTGGAGCCT